AGGCGCGAAAGAAAAGCATTTGTGCCATTGATTCATCTTCTATTAATAATCAGGTAGGTAGCTCCTCATTTCTACTTATTCTTGAGAAGGTGAAGATTTCATATTCTGTGTTATTTTTCACACCATTAGTGCCGTTGGTTTGAGTCTACATTGGCGTTTCAGTCAACTTCCTGGAGGTCTAATGATAAAACTCAAGATTGAATAGTATTTACCTGTACATTTCAGTATCTCTTCAATGAGAATAACCTGCACGCTTTGGCATATTTAGCCCTAAAACATTAGCACTGTACCTGAACTGTAGACTCCACAGTAACATGTGTGTGAGAGTGTGTGTTCCTTGGGGGTTTATAAGAGTTTTGCTGATGTAACGGGTTTACTTCTGCGTTGTGTAGGGTTGAATGATGAATGAAGTGATGACAGCACACCAGCTTAACATGAGGGAGCATTTATTTTCTCCACCTGCAGAGTTTTCAAAAGGCAAATAAACAGGCTTCAATAGCTTCTCTCTCTCTCTCTCTCTCTCTCTCTCTCTCTCTCTCTCTCGTGCTCTCAGCTGCGCCTTCTCTCACAGTGGCGTTTTGCGGAGGGCATTTCATCAATCACATATTAAAAAGAAAATAACAATAATAATAATTAAAAAAATACATATAAAGTGAACAGTATGCTGTACACGCTCCCCATTTACTGAACAATATAAGATTAATATATATTTGACAATATAGCTCAATATACCTGCAGAGTTTACAAAAGGCGAATAAACAGGCTTCCATAGATTTTCTCTCTCGCGCGCGCTCTCAGCTGCGCCTGTTAAACACTGTGCACTTGTTTTACAACATAGCTGTTACACTACACGAACTATAAAAACCCTAAAACTGTGAATAGAAGTTACAGAGAGAGTGTGAGAGGTGTGGTGCGGTAGAGAACACGTACACAAGGAAGAAACTGCACGAGAGTGAGTGAGTGAGTGAGTGAGAGAGAGAGAGAGAGAGAGAGAGAGAGAAAGTGTAGCAGCCCTTGGCTTCAACGAATAACGCGCAGAGAGTTTCTAAAACGGGTGTTTAATTTTATTCAGCTTGATGGACTTCAAGTATCAATAGTTCCTTCATGAGCACCGTGAAAACTGAAAGATGAATGAAAGATACAAGCAAAATGCTTATAGTTTTGCCAGTACAAAGAAGTAATGTAAATAACAAAGGCTTTATGACTTTAGCTTACATACACAGAGATAGAATTTAATGCCAGAAAACATGTGGGTTTAGCGTCACCAAAACATAACTATAATAAACTGAAAAGAAAGAACCAAAGCTTCACAGATGCTATAATACATATAAACACAACTTGGTACCTTTCTTATCAGTTCAGTGTTACATAACTCACTCCGCATGCCAAGGCTGCAATATCTGACAAAGCTATGAGCCCTTTGCTAAGGATTTCTTCCTTTGGTTTTCATTTAGCCCTTTCCTAAGGATTATCAAGGATGTCTTCCTTGACAATGACTATGTCATTTACTTTGAGGTTGTGTCGAGGTACATGACACTTTTGCAGTGTGGAAATGTTCAGGAGATATTCTTTCTTCCAGCGATTCCAAAATTGTTCAATTAAATATTGGACTCGGCGCCATTGTTTTGCTGCATACACATCTTCCCTTACAAATTTCCCAGGAGGTGGAGCAGTGACCTTGGACTTCATCAAGGTGAGATGGTTTGGTCTCAAGGGTTCAAATGACTTAGGATCATTAATTCCATCCACAGTTAACAGGTGGCTGTTGACAATGGCCATCGCTTCATAGAACAGGGTTCTAGGGGAAGCATCATCAAGTCTGCTTGGATACTGAGTAAGTGCGGCATTTAACACATTTCAAATGGTCCGGATTTGGCGTTCCCATATGCTACCAACATGGCTCACTGAGGGGGCAATAAAGGTAAATTCACACTGATTTTCAGCCAGAAAATCTTCCAGTGTCTTGGTATCACACTGCTTCAGTGATTCTCTAAATTCATTTCTAGCACCCACAAAGTTTGTGCCGTAATCACAGTGGATTTGACGAACAGTTCCTCTGAGACAAATGAAGCACCTCAAGGCATTAACAAATGCATCAGTTGACAGATCTTCAAGCATTTCGATGTGGACAGCTCGAGAAGAAAGGCATGTGAAGATCAATCCATATCTTTTGTGCTCTTTGCGCACCCTCTTGGTGATGAATGGCATAAAACAATCCATGCCACAGTACATGAAGGGGGCTGAAGCTGCAACACGATCTTTAGGGAGATCAGCCATACATTGCTCCTTTGCTGGTCATCGGAGTTTCCTGCACTGTACGCAGTTATGTATCAGCTTGGCAACTGATTTGCTCCTTTCAATCACCCAAAATCTGTTGGCTCTTAGCTCCATTAGAGTTTGACATCTGCCCTGATGACAAACTTTGACATGATAGTGAGATAGAATGAGTCTGGTAATGTGGTCATCCTTTGGAAGAATGATTGGATGTTTTAGCTCCTAACTGAGAGATGACTGTTTTAGTCTTCCTCCAACACAAAGTAGTCTGTTGTCCAAAACTGGGTCAAGGCAGTAGAGTGGACTTGAACTTGGAAGACTATTTCCTCTTTGAAGCTTCTTCATCTCTGCGGAAAAGGCTTGCTGCTGGACAAGCTTGATCACTACCTCAGCTGCTCCCTCACGTTCTTCGACAGCAACAAAGTCTCTGCGATATTCTTGCTTAGACCCTAGTCTCTTAATTCTCACAACCACTTTAAGGAGTGTGGTCCAAGAAGAAAACCGACTGAAATGGCTAAGGTTGAACACAATTAGCAACAAATATGTAGAACTTTCGGGATTCATTGTTAAGGTATGCCAACATAACCTGAGAGTCTGTCCAGAAGAACTCATCATCAACCTTTATTTTGAGCTCAGTTTTCAGCATGACACTCACAACCACTGAGAGTTCTAATCTTGGGATGTTTGTGACCTTTGTGGGTGCGACTCTCGCTTTGGCCATCATGAGACTGCAGTGCACTTCATCCATTTTTTTAATCTTAAATAGGAGCATACACCATATCCCACGTTGCTGGCATCTGAAAAGTGGTGCAGTTCTGTTCTGACAGTGTTGCCAAAGTCTTGTGGGTGATAGCATCTTGGTATCTTGATTTCTTTCAGCTTCGGAAGGCCATTTATCCACTCCTCCCACCGTGGCAGTAGGTCCTCTGGAAAAGGTTAATCCCAACCTACATTTCTACGACACAATTCCAGTAAGATGCGCTTTCCACTTAGGGTGAATGGAGCGACAAACCCAAGTGGGTCGAAAAGAGAGGCGATGATTGATAGTATACCACAGCATGTTGAAGGCTTGTCTTTCAGGTTAACATCAAAAATTGAAGCTGTCATTTTCAATCGACCATTAAATACCCAGTGCACGACCTGCAGGCATTTGGTTCAAACTTAGATTGAGAGATTTAGCTGTCGTTGCCCTTTCTGAAGGGTCTACAATGTCAAGAACTTCTTTCTTGTTTGAATCAAATTTGTGGAGACGTAGGCCTCCCCTTTTGCACAACTGCCTTGATTCAATGATCAGCTTTATGGCATCTTCGACTTCAGTTTATGAAAATATCAAGACTAGTGCTTTTACAACAGAAATACTCATGAATCACAGTGCGCTCACCTAAAAAAAAACACTAATAAGTGTCAGCATTACGGTAGCTCTCATATTTTATGTAAATCTATGATGCAGATGAGTTTTTTGCTCTGTAATTATTAGTTTATTATTTATTGGCTGATCATGTGAAGAACACTGCAACAATGAAACAGGGTAGAAGATGATTTAATGTGTTTTTGTGGTTTGAATCGATTTAAAATAATGTATTTTTATCTAAACTAAACTATAACTGGTCTGCATCATCTGGCCATATGTTCTCATTAACATCAAACCTGCTGTCCTCTCTTGCTTATTTGTGATTGAATAAGCACTTGCGAATTATGTGCTGGGAACATAATAACTCCAGAAGTGACCCCTTATAGATGGTCAGTATCTGGGCTGGAATTCAGTTCAGATGGGAATCAGTTGTGATTGATTTGTTAACATACATTCAATCAGCAGGCTTTCTCTATATCTACCATAATTATGTGAGCTTTGTTTACCGAATATAGTATTTATGATTGAGTAAATTAATATGCAGATTATTTTAGTTGCTTGGAGTTAGTTGCTGGAGTTATGTATAACAGTTTTAAAACAGTGTGTGTAAGCACAATGAGCTCAAGAAATACAGTTTTATTAAAGATACAGTGAGAAGAGAATTCAAGAATTTTAGAAACTGTGATCACTAAATGCATATTGTATTCAAACAAAGAAAAATTGTTGATGCTTTGGTCCAAACAGAGTGGTGTTGTACAAATTCTGTGAAGAATGTTAAAATACTTGTTACAATTTTTCTCAAGTGCTAACATTATACTACAGTACATTTTTCTGCCACAGTTTTCTGTCTGTTTGTTGTGGTATATTGTTGTCACTATTTGTAGTGAGACACAATGTCATCAGTAGTGTGAGACTTCAAACAGGAAAAAAGCGTTTCCTGTTCCCCTTCTAGTGATGTCACACACACACATCCAGATAGGTTCAAGTGCTCTCAATTATTTATTAAGTGTCAATCACCCAGAAAAGAAGATATTTATATAATTACAGCAGTGTTGGGTGTTTAAAACAAAAGCAGTTTCTAAAGGTGTCTCCATTTGCTCCTCAGCTAATATCTGGCAGTCACTCATTCTCACAGCCTAAACAGCAGACTGCAGCACCTAAATATGTCTAATATGTAAATAAGCCCCGCCCTAATTGAGGCCTGAACACACCAATACAGATTACAGGGGAGACAATACACCATTGGCCTATCATCAACCAATAAAACATGTACATGCAACATCAACAATATTTACACGGCCATTTCTCATTTCTATACCAGTAAGTACATTCATATTTACATTTAGCTTTAACTAACTCTCTTTACTCTCCACAGGTTTTATTCCGGCTTTGCTCCCCCTCTACAGGACAGAGACCTTTGTGCCACCATTTTCCTGGAATCAAGGTATGTTGCACATGTATTAATCTCTTGCAAATGTCTTATACAGTCTTGGTGATGTGTCTTGGCCACTGACATCATTACAGTGTTCCTGCACAATCTGTGCCTCACGAACAGCAACAAAAGAACAAAAGCTTTTCTGATAAAGCAATTTGATATATAAGGATGCACGATTTTGTAAACAATCACATCAGTATTGGCAGAAAGTGGTTCTATATAGAACCATGGATACATTGGTTTGCAAGTTTAAAGAGTTCTTTGCATTATTATATAGAACCTCTTCATAATGATGGGGAATGAGCTGCAGATGGTGCTATATAGAACCATTTTCAAAAGGGTTCTTTTATGGTTACATGTCGTTCTTGCAAGAACCCTTTTTGGTGCTATATAGAACCATCTACAGCACATTCTCCATTAATCTGAAGAACACTTTCACGCTGCAAAGAATCCTTTAATCATGCAAAGGGTTCTTTGAGTGTTCACGGCTCTATATAGAACCATTTGCTTCACTAAATAACCCACAAAAAACCTTCTTTTATATGTATAGGCTATTTTATTAAGTAAGCATTTTATTAATTTCACCATATTTGTAACCCTACAGATAAGAATGTTACATTACCACACAATATCAAACCTACATAAGTACAGCCTTCTTAACATTCTGGCTTTGTCTCTATTTTGCTTTGTTTTTTTTTTCCCATTTTGCGCAGAATTTAGTTATTCAAAACCTTTGTTTCACCACCAATATACAAAAACATCTCTGTTTTGATTTGGACCTAAATTGTCAATGTGTTCTCAATCTGATCAGGCTGATCGGACCAGTCCTTTTGTGGATATATTCCCCCATACACAGCGATCACCACCTCTTGTGGGGTGCATACTCCTATATATCTCACCATGTTTTCATCAAAACCATGTGCCTTATTTTATCCAAAAACAAAGAAAATCAACCTAATGCCGTCACACAGGCGGAGAATCTCAATCCCCTTTTACATAAAAGTTACCGCAAACTTTTACAAATCAGCCAAATCACTTTTCCCTTCAAAATATTAACAAGTCAGAGAGATCATACCTTTTAGGTGGTTCTTATCGGTGAGCCACAGTGGTCCCCAGGTGCAGGTTATGATGAAATCAAAATCACTCAAAATTTATTTGAGGTTAAGGATGAGTTTAAGCTCATTTCATGAGCTTCCTCCGATTCCTCTGTCATCCGACGACCCGGGACATGTGTGGCACACCCAAGGGACACCAAGTAATTATCATGGTAGTTCCAAAAGTTCTGTCATGGAAATCCTGACAGCAGAAAAAAAAAATATCACAAGTTTTGAATAAGCAAGAGTTATTTATTTAGGAAATGAAAGTGATACAGACCAGAGAGTGAAGAGATGAGAGTGTGCGCTCTGAAGCGGTCTCCCTTACATAGGGGTTTTATAACCCAAACTGGGTGTTGGCTAGGTACCAAAAAAGGGGAGGTTTGACAGTTGCTGTTATCAGTCTTTTGCAAATTTCTGTTAATATAGCCATATAAGGTTGTGAGTACATGGGGCCATTTTCAGCGATGCCCCAACTAGAATACCTTACAAAAGCAGAAGTATTGGCGGGTGCAGGACGGCTGACCGAGGTCAGTCGCTATATGAGGATACTTCCTATTTTCATATCTATCAGGCAGAGGACAAGGTATTTTGTCCATGACCTTTTGCCCGTACATAGTCTTACACTCTGCAAGCAATACAGCAAATACAATGAATTAATACACTTTCCATAACAGTACATTGAGGGTGTATTGTGTAAGTATACAAGTCACATTGAGCAGTAAATACAATTAAATTAAACAAGACATTTAAATTATTAAGAATATCAAATGACAAATAGCTGTGCTGTTCTGAATGTTAAGTATACTACAAAATCTCCCCAGTATTTCACAAAGAGAAACAGTACTTTCTCAGAAGGAATGTAGGAAGCCTTTCTATGTCTTTTTATCTAGGCTAGGAGGTACAGATGATTTCAACTTGGAAAAAAAAAATTAATGTAAGTTAATGCAATGTGACTTTATTCAAAGTAATTCTGGAACATTTCCGCTCTGTTCTGTTTCATAATGAATCTTAATACAATGTGAAAAGCAGTTGGCAAACTATGTAAAATAAAAGGAGAAAATGATAAACGTTTTACTGTGATATTGACAACATGTAAATGATTTGAAAAAACTTAAAACAATTACTACACAGGAATATTCACTCAAAACTACAGAGGTATTTGCTGTAATTATGTCTTAAACAGAAATGTTTAAGACATAATTACATCATTTTAAAAAGACACGTTCAAGACAAATCTCCCACCAGAGGATGTGACTTGTTAAAACTAGTTTCTTTATTGACTTCCTTTACTTTAGCTTTATAGAAGACCTCACCACCCACATCAATGTAAATGTAAGACTTGTGCAAAAGCGCTGTAATGATCACAAAGCTTTTTATGTATTTAATCCAACAAGCTTTCCTCCCATGTCCATGGGAGTTCATGGATAAAAGAGAGATGATAATCAATATATTTGGAGTCTAGATCTGATGTATCTATTAAATACCATGGGAGAGCTATAGCATGCAGTAGCTAACAACTTTGCAGTGTCTTCTACACTGACATGCCAAAAGGCATGAAATAGCAGTATGTAAATTGATTATGAAGTGGTGTTACCAGGTCAGTGCTTCAGTGGGATATGGCCACTGTTGGAAACCACGACACTAGACGCAGCACCTCACCTGGACTCTGAACCTGAGGTTGCTAACTGGACCCTAAATGACTGCCATGTCTAATGAGTCACAGTACCTGTTTCAGGCTCATGGTTGGGTTCATGTGTGGAGCGATCCATTCATACCAGAGATCCTACAGCTACAAACACCACAGTACTGTGGGTGGCTACCCAGATGGCATGGCTCAACATTCCAGACATCTTCTGTCCACTTGTGGAATTGATGCCATGCTGTGTTGTTGCACATCGCCTGGCTAGAGGGGCTCCTACACGATACTACTGTAGTTCCTGCCCCATGACGTTAGCATGTCAGTGCATTATGGACTTTGTGCAATCATCTAAGCTTTGGCCCCATCATCAGGAGACTGCGAGTGTCCTCAGTGATGCTACAGCCATCTGTAACTGGGAGTCTAAGAGAGAATGATTGACTTTTCTCTCTCTGGATGAGTAGGATGACATCCCCGTCCCCATTGTGGCCATCTGTTAGTTGACGTAACACACAGCGTTCTGCTCTAAGTGCTTTAGTGGCAGTTTGTAAAGATGCAGTAGAACTTCATATGACTTGGAAAAAGCATGTGCCAGCCTTCCTTCTCCTAGCACTGGTAGAATTGTGAAATTGAGGGAGACTTACGTAGCAGGTGGAATTGGACATGACTAAAATGTTACAGACAATTGGGGAAAAACACAAAGAAAACAATGGTGTCTCTTGTCCCAGGATGTGAGCATAATAGTAACAATCCATTATCTACTAGGGTTAGACAAAGGGCAGAATCATCAGCATATAGGGCTACCCAGATGTGCTTTTTGAGCACTTAAAAAAATAGCCAGCAGAAACAGTTCTCACTGTTGCTGTAACATCTGTACCAGGTATTCTGTGTTCTTAACAGAGTGGTTCAAGTATGCTTGGAGTTGGAGAAAGTCTCTTTCTTCTCTGGGCTCCAAGCAGCACAACGGCGAACATGAAAATCTTCATCAGAGGACCCACACAACTTTCCGGTCGCCGTGGGGTCTATCTTATGGAGTTAAATTGGGGTATTTAATAGTGACAGGAAAATAAAACTAACACAAAAATGAGGTCTCAGTGAGTTGCAAAAATAATTAGATATTAGATATAAGAGAAATTGTGCTACTTTTTTTTCTCTTGCAACACTTTTTTTAGGATAAATCTTTTGTGACAATTTTTTCTTTGCATTACTCTTTTTTGTTTGCGCATCAGTTTTGACCTCTTTTTGATTTGTGGGCATGGGAAGAAGAGAGAGGTGTGGCCTAGATGGAAAGGCGTGTCATGGACGCTTCACGTCATCAGCTGGAGCCACCGCCACACAGCCTGACATTTCAACTAATGCCATCATAACAGACACGAGCCAAGCTGGACCACAGGCACTTATAGTTGACACAATCAAAAACAAACGGCCGCATAATGTTAACATTTCCTGAAGTTATTCATTTTCTGTAGTTCCAGTTTTGCGTGGTTTGGTTTGTGAAGGGAACGTGAACTTAAGGAGATGCAACACCATCACGCCCAGCCATGCGAACCGTTAGGCTGTACTGTACGGTCGAACTTGCTAGCCACATTAGTCACACTGGTAACACTTCAACATTAAGGGTACATGATCTGCAAGTAATTAAGGCATTTACTAATGAATGACTAATCAGAAAGTAATGCGCCAATCAGGAACAAATTAATGTTATGTATTAAGAACCACAAGACTAAATTACTAACACATGTACTAATGAATGAAGATAATAAAGAATTCATGTGTCAATTAATGTTTGTTGTCACAAGATCCCCTGAGACAAAGTACTCTGGAATAGTGTATCTATCAAAGTCAACTGTGTTTTTTTTTCTGTAGCTCCATCTTCTAATCATCTTGTCATTCTCCTTCATTTTGCTGTGTAAGCAGCCCTTGTATTTGCCTGTCTTTATTGTTTTTTTGTTTCTTATGTTAGAATAGTTTATTGTTTTTGATATCTTGTGCCAGTGGACCATCAGCGAACTGAAACTGAACCTGTGTTGTGGTGTGTAAAGCTGTTTTAGTCTGCTCACTAAGCTAAGGCTATTGTGCTAACAAGGACAGTATTGTGAAGCAAAAGTAGCTTAGCTAATGGCTCCACATTCAACAGCATATGTTTGCTCCCTTGGACTTTAATCTTTATTCTCTACACCTGTGTCAGTGGAGCATCACTGAGCTGGAATGAAACCTGTGCTGTGGTGTTTGAAGCTGTAGCATGCTAAACTACACAGCACCACACTGTAGACAGC